TTGGCAGATTTTGAATGCAGATTTGAAATCAGCGTCAAAAAATACGCCCAGCGGTATAGATCCCATTCCAAATGGCCACTTCGACTTGGGGTCCTTCCCTTGTAAGATGGTAAATTCACACAGTAGCAAGTTTCCAATCGCGCCTAGGACTATTACCACGGTCTGAACTCCGGATAGAACCCTGCATCCATTTAGGAGATTGTGATGCTTTTTACAAACATCCTAGTCTATCTGCTATTACTGACCATAGCAACGTAAGGATTTGAGGAGATGCATTGGTACAGATGCACCGGTACCCCTAGCGAGATGAGTAGCTGGCCACGAACGTAAAATATGATCGAAAATCATAGACGTAATTGAAAGCGAATGAACTCACCGCATTCTCGAACACCGTATCTACACTAGTATCCTTAAAAACCATATATGTATCTTTAAACATACTCTTTGAAAGATTAGAAAATTCATCTCCTTTCTGGGAAATGAAAGCCTGATTAATCCCTTTAACAAAAGCAGTTCATCATTCCGTATTACAGTGAGTTTTGTTGTCAAAGGAGGAAATGTTGTATTTTTCTCAATAGCGTGCCATCATCTCTTTTCCAAATTTTGTGGTTACTTTCCTTCTGTGTCCCAGTAGTTGTTTTTTGAACTGTTGATTGGAAAACGGCAGTATGGGGGTTTTTCGTTCCTGAGGCTACAAATAAGAATCGCCAGGCTCTCTATACTTTTTTAAAATTCTCGTTAAGACTGGGCATTTGACTTTCAAGCACTTTATTTCCTCTTTATTCAGTCTTAGATGAGGATCTAAAGTGACTATAGACTAGAATTATCTTTCATCACAAAGGTTTTTGGTCATTATTTTCAGCAACTTACAAACTTGCCATACATCATAGACTCCTATCAGTGTGAGCCCTGAACCGTTCTGAGATAACTGTCGAAAATTGCATTAGGATTGCTTCGTAACAGCTTCGTTATCAACTTTTATCACTTGCTACCATTAACCACTACCTCTTATAGGTTCCAATCACATTCTATTGTTCTCTATCACGCCACCACCCAGATCTCTGTTCAATCACGCTTGATACAACTGAAAGACGATAATGGCTAATGCGGAGGCTTTCAACCTTTCGGTGCTTTTCTCGAACACTCGTTATCACCCTCTAACCATTGTCCGCTCCCAAAGGCATTTCCAGTCTTACCTTCGAGTCCGTGGACCGAAACACCATTGATACCCAACGATTTTGGATGAATTTCGTGGAGCTTGCTCAACGCCGACCTTTCTGCTCTTTGTCTTTTATTACTAATGGTAAAACTCACCCTGTGTTTCCTGGGTTTTGCCTGAAAAATTTTTTAAATAGTATTTTAGTTTATGTTTCTTTCATATTATTTTATTATTTTATTTTCGACCTAATTCTGGAGGATTAGTATGATTTTTGCCAAAATTTTGAAAATCCCTTCGAAGAATCGTTTCAAACCTTTGTTTGCTTTGGTGAAACAGTAGATTTTGGTTTTACCATTACGACATCTCCTCTCATGGTCGGCTGCTCATCATAGCGTAACACTATGTCCTGAACAAACTACTCTAGTAATCTTCAATGAAAGTTGCGTTTAATACACATTACCATAACAGCAGGTTCAGCTGAGTGAGGTGGTGAACTGAACGACTCGAGGGCAGTCTTTTCCTGTAATCATCATTTGATGCTGATTCTCTGAACTAGGTGTTTGCTAGTATGACTTGGTCTGTCATCCATGGAAAAGGGTTTTGCCGCAGTATATGGGGAGAGCTGCCTAAAGGCGCTCCCAATGTAGGTAGAAGTGAATTTGTTTCTCAGCGACACCGTCCTTCTGTCCTAACTGGTTTCCCGGAAGCTGCACATCATCCGGAATGCTCGTGCGATGGCTATCCCTCAGCGATGGTATCCGTCATGCTGTCCTTCCTAGAAGCTATGTATTTGAGTTGGTAGGAAGCGTGCTAAGATCCCCTTTAATAAAAAAGTCCCTACTACTCGAGGGTACCATGACGACACCTACATATATCACCTGTCGTCGCGTTAGTCATCCCTTTGCTCGACCTGGTACCTTTACCAAGGCTCAGAAGTTAGTGAAACCCAGTGATCACTAAAAAGATTCGAATCAACCGAGAAATAAATTGCCGAGATTTCACTTTTAACACCAAGAACGGTACAGACTCAATGAATCTCGCCTTCTCTAGGCCTTATCATTCCTTACTGTTTTTTGCTTTCAGCTCCAGTCTATCCCCCAAAGTGCCAAGGTTCCTGTTAGCTGTTGACACGAAAGGCGTTACAGGCCCTATAGGCCTTGCCTTCTTCCAGTCTTTATAAGCCCTTACCCTTGCTATCAGATCTTGTCACGTTCCCTCATCGACGCGTCAAGTTTTCTTCCCCACGAATAGTGAAACGGACCCAGGGGTTTTTGCATCCCATGGTTCCCTATCAACCACTATCAATTGTCATCAGTCTCTACCACCAAGGATCTATGGCCCTTTTACACCCCATATCACTTACTGAGGTGTCGAGGTTTCATGTTGGCAGGGAGTATGTAGACGAATCTATGACTTTTACGTTCTATGGCTTCATATCAGCCCTTATCAGTTGCTATTATTCCTCTCACCTACCATCTATGGTCCCTTTACAGCCTAAATCACCTATCAGTGTCAGAGTTCCACTGAACAGAAAGCGTGAAACGGATCTTGTGGCTCTTGCCTTCGAAGGTTCCTTCAGCCCCTATCGATGACGCCACTTCCTAAAAGTTAGCATATGTGTTTTTTTCCTCTGGCCTATATTCCTTCCGAATTTGATCACTCTATGTAGGTCCAGGGAGCAGGAGTTACTAGTTCCCAGTCAAAGGCACACACTGACACACACAGAACACACAGCACACACACACGTGCATACACAGACAGCATTCACAAACACACCTACAAACCAATAGACACATGTGGCGAATGGTATAAAGTAGAATCATACTTATGCCATACGTTCTACCTCGATAGCCAAACATATCATCGTCGAAGGAATCGAATACTACTCGTTGGCTATGCTGCGAAAGCGGTTTGTCATGGAAATCTCTCTCAACATCATCGTAAGAGGAGTAGTTCGATGAGAGGGGAGGTGTAGTTGCCATTCATTTTCTACTGCTGCTGAAGATGGTGGTTCACTTCGGCTTGGCCGTCTTCCTAAGATGTGAATCCTTTCGGATTGCAGAGTTCTGAATTCTTTTGACTATTTCTGAACAGGTCTTAAGACGTGTAGTACCGTCAATCAGTTTGGGCACACCTCTGGGTGTGAAATAGCTAACTGGGTGGATAAATAATGCGACGTGATTCTTTATGTCCCTATCGGTCACGTCCACCAAAGTATTTGGCAAACACGTGCCGGGCGAGGACACCGTGTTCCCTATGGGGTATGGATTCGATAAATGGTGACGGCATTGGACTAATGGAATTAAGATGGATAATTACCTCGAGCCTTTCATTGGATTCTACTGGTCCCACCACTCCTTCCTTCGATTCTGTAGGCCTTGCTTGTTGTTCACCATCTGCTTGTGCAACTCTTTCACCAGATGGCGTAACTCCAGCGACTCCTTCACCAGATGGCGTGACGCCAGCAACTTTTTCATGGGAACCGGTCATTTCTTTTGAATGTTGTTCTTCATGAGGTTCTTCCATTCGTCAACAGATCGTAGCTGAACGAATTTTTAAAGTGTCTACGAGTTCAATAAAAGCATAGGAGAAACGTACCAGCTGGCTGTAACATACAGTCATAAATGAACGTACCCGAACCTGACTGCCAGTTATCAGGATCATTTCATTTCATGAAAGCATGATGTTATTACGGCATATAAAAGAGCAGGCGTGAACTGGTCGGTGAAATCACCTAACAGTGGAAGCGGATCTTCGCGAATTTCAATTCATTTTGATATAATTGTGTCAGCTCCTCCTCCCAGAGTCTAGGTGAACCATCATTTCTTTCAACTCGTCTAGCTCAGATGTTGGCTCAACTGAACTAACTCATAACAAATAAATAAATAAACTAGTGGAACTCCACTAGAAACATAGAACTGCAGCTTCTGCTCAACTCCTTCTCGTCGAGCTACCATCTCCTCTTCAAAGCTCGCAGTCACTGACGTTCTAAGGGTCCTCAGTGCTTTTGAAGGGATACATCCTTCGTGATAATCCGTATAATATTAGTTAACGCTTTGAAATTATTTCTGACTTCAACTTTTCCTCCATCGCCCTCAACGAGGCAGAGATCGTATGTTGACTTGCTACAGCCAGGGAACTTCAGCTCAGAGATCAGCACCCTAAAATCGGGACTGATGTCGGGGAGGCGAGAGGAAGTGGGATAGGGAAGTTGTGAGTAAGTAGGGATAAAAGGATAGATATCTATGCCATGTGGTACAGCGAAAGAAAGCTAGAGAATGAACTCGGTGCTATGCATCATGTCATCATTATATAGGAATTTTTCGATCAACTGGATCCTGCTTCAACACTAAAATGTTTCAGCTACGAAATATCGCCTTGTGATGCAAAAACAGCTTGCAAGAATGTCAAAAGTGAACCGAAGCTTAACTGAAATATAGGCTTGTAGTACGTTAGTGTGGCTGTTGGTACCGTTGTCACTGTTAGAAGAGGATCAGCAGAAAAGGTTTTAGATGTACTGCCATATCGGGATATTAGAGCCTGGAAAGTATGGGTTCGGATCCATTGCGAGGCGATCCTTTTTTTCTTTCTCTGAATTATGCGTTATTGTCACGACAGTGTACTGCAGGGCTTGCTCTTAAAGTAGAAGCCTCAATCCCGGCTTCCCTTGCAGCCTCATCCTCGCACCGGTCGTTACCGAGTGCTGGATAAATAGGATGTAAAGGAGTAGGAGGGATCGCACCGGGATCCCCCTCAACTCTCAACTTATCAAAACGGGGTGGGAGAGGGTGATTTGAAACCAAAGTGACGTTAAATGAAAAATGACTATTCCTAGGATAGTTTTTGGTAAGAGAAGACAGCTGAAGCGTTTGAAAAGAATAACAGCAGCAGACGTGGCGCACTGTATTCAGCTGCAATGGTCGCATTCACAACGACTTTGCTTTTACAGTATTGAGAAATTCTTCCGCAGCATTTTTCAAACAAACTTGGTGTTTTTCGCTTATCGAGACGTGTTGCCAGTGTTTCGCTTGGTTATGCCTTGCCTTATTAACTTTTTTTGCAGGTTGCGTTACTTGAACGAATGAAGAAACTCAGAAGAAACGACAAAGGATGAGATCAGTAGCTCTGTTAGCGCAGAAGTTTTCCCGGTTGGGAATCGCTCGAGGATTACACAGTACGTTGTTTAGTGTGCTATTTTATGCTATTCTCGTCGATACTAGATTTTCAGGCTTTCATAGTCCATTGTCGTCAGGATTGTATATTCCTCTCCCGAAGAATGACCGAATACCATCAAATTCAGGTAATACCCAAGCATTATTGTGAGTGTAACTTATTATCTGCAAGCTACGCCCATTATAGCTATGCACTGGATGAACGAATACTACATTTGAGAAGTCGCCATAATCTTCTACACTTTCATTGACTTGGTTTAGAGAATTGGTCTCGGGGGCATTGCCAGTTCCGAATAATTTATCTAAGTAATGGTAACGGTAATCTAAAACGGCATCTAGGTAGGGACACAGAGCTATAAGGGACGAACTTTTCGAAACAATCCACTGGCTCAAGTATTTACCTTTGAGCCATCGATACGTTTTACCAGGTACTGATCTCTCAATCCGTAGAATTACTGCAGCTTTTGAACTAATCTACGATAGTGAGGTCCTTGTCTATTTGTGGCCTTCAATTCCTTAATTTCTGAAAGTCCATGTAAAATTATGTGTAAATATAGCTACGTATATATGAGATATTTTCAGAATCAGCCGAAACTCCTAGCGCAGGTGGTCAGAAACCTATTGTACCGTTCAGCCTTCCAGCACTTGAAAATTGTCGACAGGTGCTTTTACAATTTCTTTACGTCTCTCTGGCTCAATCGAACTACTCATAATTTTTTAGGTCTACACATTTCCTACGCTGAACAGGTCTCCAGTTGTAGCTCCTCCTCCCTTTCTACATCATATTTTAGAAAAGATGGATCCAATCCCTGAAAAGGTGAGCTTTTCAGTTGATCACCTCCCTGAGAATGTGAGCTCACCTTGAAACACGTACACCTAAACTCTGGATTCCTCTACTGGGACTGAAAATTGTTTGCTCACTCTTTCTTAGTGCTCTTTTGTGGATTTTTGCTTTTCTCTTCGGCAACATTGAGAGACTCAATCACCCTTACCAAAACTGTGATCGTACTTTTTAAAGAAAACCTACATAAATTTGTGGTCTTTAAGGCTCCGGTAGAAGCTCCTCCCACCGCGGATCCTGTGGCGATTCAACTGGCTCCTCGTATGCTCATTATACGAAGGAAGAAAATGAAAAAGCACAAAAGGAGAAAACGTTATAATAGAGATTTTTTCAAATATCAGAAACATCATAAAGAGAAGAAGTTGAGGGTGAGTTAATCAGTTGCAAAGTACTATAATAGATGACGATCGGTGTGTTTGTTATTATTCAAATCAATTCCAGGCGGAGCGTGAGTTCATCAAGCGTATGAAAGCTCATCTAGCAGAGTTAGAATCATTCAAACCTGAGCAATACGTCGAAGAAACTATTGCAGCGTAAGTTTTTCGAACGGAGACTCGTTTTCTGCTTTCTGTTTCGTTTCATAAATGTCGCAGATTTTTCTTTTCCAAACAATATTTATGTGTTTCTTGGGAGGCTCTTATTGAGAAACACTTGGGCAAGTAGCAGTAACACAGGGACAAGGAAAAACTGTTGAAAAATTCCTTATTAATGCATCTAGGTTCTGTGTTATATTAATCATTCATCTTCAAAGGGAAAGCATTCAGGGGATCTAAAATCTTTTCACCAAGTTGTAAGGGTAAATAGCGGGCTGCCACTTTTCAAAGGGATTGATGTATACCACCTTTTGAACTCGTAATATTACGTGAACTTTGAGCAATACCATCAGAACTGGTGTCAGAATTGGACTTTTTTTCGTTTCAAACATTTTCAATTCGATTTTTCTGAAATTCACTGGCTGCAGAAGCAGGCAATAAGCTTTTGTTTACGTTTTGACAAACAATCATATTGCACGTAATGTGTAATGCGCAGTCAATGAAGTTTAGTAAAGAGCTTACTTTTCAAACTTAACTTAGAATGAGATAACTTGCAAACTTGGTGTACCAAAGCAGGGGTTATGCTGTCGTCAACTTCATTTCCCTACTCTCTGCATGGCGAGGTAGGGAAATGAAGTTGATGACAATGAAGTTTCTTAAGTCAGATTTTCTCCTGAAGCGGTCTTTTATAAAGTTTATTATATTATCAAAATATCTAGATGAGCCTTAGTCAAACAATGTTTATCTCGAAGGACGCTGATCGGACGATTAATTCGTAAGTAGCAGTCCAAGCCAATACTTCAATCTCCTACTGTCATTTGTTGACGTTCATATAAGGGTATCTGATTGAAATTTTGTGAGAGGATGAGCCAGAGCCAATATAAATGCTGACAAAATCTGACAGGTTTCCTCTAACTATGATTCACTGTAGCGCCTTTTAGGCTCTGCCAATTCGTCCTCTCTGTTTAATTGAAGTGATGTTCTCAGCCCTTTACTTTTGAATAATGTACACACATGATGGTAATGGTTTCAACGCCTCGATACTAAATGTATACTAAATGCTTGATAATGCTTATTTGATTTGGCAATTTTAGCGTTGATCTTATTGACTCCTGATTCATTATAGAGCGAAAAAGGAGTGGTCGGATGATCTTGCGCCAACAGGGAGGAAGTTATATCCTCACTGGTCAAGACTTATGTCATTGGAAGAACTTTATGGCCTACCCAAAAGTGATTATATCGACAAGAAAGCTGGATTAGCCGGAGAGGAAGATGCGGAAAAGATCAAGCAGTTGAAGATGGAATACGATAACAAGTACCGCGGTATCTGATCTCAGTCTTTCTGTTATTTTTTCATGTTTTTCTTAGGTTGTTAGGTTGAAGATGCAGATATCATTTTATAGTTGTTCTGTTTTTTCTTGAGGAGATCATGATTTATGTGATGTTATGAGTTACTGAGTTGGTGCAGCCAAAAAAATTTATGAATTTGTTTCTAGAAACTGTGTACACAAAACTTTTATTGCTAATGAGTAAGTGGATCATATGCTTTTCGGATGCTTTTTAAGTTCTGTGTACTTTATGTCGGCGTCATCGGTTCAGCCGCGCACCTCTTAGTTCATATCCCTTTCTTTGGATGTGTAGTCGCTTTGCAGACAGTTTCTCGACGAACTCTCCTTTCATCAACAGCTTCCATTGAGTTGTGGATGTCAAATCAACATCTGTCATCCCACTTGAATTGAAATTGAACGACGTTCACACCACCTCGGTCAACGTACCACAACATCAAGGAGTCTCCAGCCCAGGCAAAGTTCCGCAGTTCACCTTAAATAACTCTCCATAAGCTTTCTACAAACAAGAATTGATGCACTCAATTTTCGCCCATTGGGCTTTTTTGGCTTGCACTCATTATTTGCTATTGGCTCTACTTTGCATCGGCACTCTATTTCATTTGTAGTTTTAGAGTAGAAAATAACGAAAAGCAGTTTATGTTCCGTTATCAGAACTAAATCTAAAAATAATGAATAATTGTGCGAAAGCGGAGAATTTGCCCCAAGGCACAGTTTACGATAAAAATAAATTCTGAGATATCCATTTAGATTATTCTGTGTCATCCCTGTCTACCATACGTGGTGATGCTAAATCGGTGAACGGCTTAGAGCGTTATACGGGCTCAAAGATTGTTTCGGCTGTATGCCACACCCAAAAGCGTACGAGCTTCAACGCCGTTGAGAGGCTGCACCATTCACAACGGTCACAATGTTGGAAATTCTAACAACTAGTGACCCATGGAGACATAGGAAATTGGTTTTGACATTTTTAGCTTAATGTAGTGAGTTCCTTACGCAGGTGAATAACTGAATTTGGAAATACCCCTTCATGCCATGTCCTTCATCGCAATCTCGTACAACCTCCGTTTTCACAACTTTTGAGGAGCCCTATTTTAGGCAAAATCGGCGGATTTTCTCGCTTTTTTCGTCACCGATCATCCCCACCAACACTTTCGCTTTAACAGGGGAATCTCAAAACCGTCGTGAACTGTGTCTTGAAGCTGGGGGCATACTAACAACTGTAACACCCAAACTGCTATTTCATTTATGACTATGGTCAAGCTACCCTAATGTTAACTTATTTCTTTTGGGCATACCTGAAAAGAGGAAAGTCTGGTAGTAATTGTCAAGCACCGCTACACATTTCGTGCTCAAAGTGTATCGGAGTAGGTAGAAACGCGATGCTTGGAGTATAGCGACCAAAAGATGGCCATCCTGTACAGTCGAGGCGATTGTCAGAACATCATTCTAAATTAAGATTTATTGGGGACGTTATAAGAAAAAATTGATTTCACCTTGATTTTCATAGGTAGGTACGTAAGAACAGCACCCGTCGAGACTTGGGTTAGTTGAACACCTCCATCAGCATCGATCACCGTTAAAATATCAGCGGATATAGCTGAGTCCGGGTTGAGTGTCGTCGACGATAGATAAGCATATTTAACTGTAATCAGTAAGTAATGCATTGACGACCATTGTAGAGGAACAAACCGCTTCGGAACAGACCTTCGGAGGAATTGTTTTGCATTGTTCGGCAACTTTGAATTGACCCGGAAAAGGTAGAGCCATCAGCTCCAATTCGGTGAGTCTGTACCGCACAAGAAGGCGAGCTTATCTGGGAGGCAGTCGTGAGTTGCAAGCCGTTTGTGTCTGAGTATACCCGAGCTTCAACCAGTTGATCGGAGAACTGTAACTTCAAAATCAGTAGCTGAAAACCTCGTTGATGTCCAGTTGTTCCCGATTCTAGGAATCGGAATCCTATAATCGGGAAGCATAGCATCCTAAACGGAGTGAAACCTTAGGTAAGTGCTTTACTCCCTCCATCACGATCACAATAAACAAACTTCTTACCGCATAAAGTACTCCCTTGACTCGGCAGAAATTGGTTCCATAGGAACAGTTTGTACAGCAGTAGATCACCTGGGCCTGGTGACAGCCATTACTCGCTGCTGAGAAGCAGTAATCGTCTGCTGCCATAATGGAGCATGAAGAACAGTTCGAAGTGTTCAGAAGAACTGTCGCCTCCAGAATGGTGTTGTTGTTGATCAGATGGAGGGAGCCGTTCCCGTAGGAGAGCAACTGGTGACGGAAAGCGAACGCTCTTGTGTCTGGCATGAGACTGCTGACGAAGCCAAGCGGAACATAGCGGGATGACGTGCCAACGACGTAACCGACTGGGAAGGGAAATGGCGTTGGCGTTGGAGACGAAGTAGTGGGTATGGTGAAGACGACAGCTGTGAAGCCATGATCGTGGTGGTCGCCCTTGAGCGCAAACACCACCACAAGTGTGATGACAATGGCGATGATGAATAGGACGGTCAGCAGGACGAGTAGACCGATGAACAGCGTTCGACGGGACAGCCTCCTGTACCATGAGCGTACAGTTCCTGAATGCATCAGTAATTGGTTGCTATGTTCTTTGTCCGTAAGAGGACCCCTTCTTTCCCATTCAAACTACCTGTAATGTCCACAGAGGATGTTTGGGTGGGACTCTGTTGATCTGGAACCGATTCTTGCCATGTAACAATCTTCAGAAACTGATCCGAATCCACTTCTGCTGAAGGAAATCTATGATCCATATCTCTGCTTTTGGCTGTTTGTTCACCAACGGACTCGTGGCGACCACGGCTCATCTTTCTGAAAAGGAGATAGATTTGGTTCTAGTGGTAACAAAGATCTGCTAAGAAGGGGTGGCTACGAACTCAAAATTTACAAGACGTCAAAGAGCTTGCTTAATGGCAAGCATGGATCAAAAGGGGCCGAAAGTGCTCTGCAATCGTTATATCATGGCTACTGAGGAATATCACTTTGTAATTGCAGAATTTTTAATTAATTTTTTTCATTGTTTAATTATTATCTGATTTAATTATTTAATTTAATCAAATTATTTAATTTTATTTCGGAATTTTTTTTCAGATTTTTTCCTGCTATTATTCTTAATTCTGTAATTTTTCAATATAATTCAGAACTTATTAATTTCAAATGAGAGGATCGAGTTTATAAGACTTTATTTTATTTAACTTTTAATAATATTGAATAATTAAAGAATTTAGAATAAAAACAGGAAAAATTTGAAAAATCGAAGATCAGGCGGACCGGAGACGTTATGCGATATCATGATGATCGTTGGACCAAGGCAGTTACTGACTGGATCCCTCGGGACATCAAACGAACTCCAAGATATGCGCTAACGCGATAGTCACACTTTACGAAAGCTCTGAACGAAAGGACTGCTTTGACCCGTGTCCTCGAGCGCTCAGGCTCGTGACAAGGACGAATGGAGACGTTGCTGGCGCCCGCTCGAGGAAATCAATGATCACCGGGACGACAGGTGATACAATTGAATTTCAGAATTTGGATCGGACCCATGAACTGCACCTCAGGCCGGTTCTTTTTATTTTTTCATCATCTTCTCCTCTATGGATCTCTATCCGTCGTCTTCAGCGTGATCATTCTGAGGGTAAAAGTGTTTTGGTACCCTTCCCTATAGATCCCTCGCGTTCCTCAGTGACTGGTTCACTAATCTCCAAAAAGAGCAGTTGACGGTGGAGGTGGAGAGACGTGTGGGTGTGTGCGTATAACCAATCGAACTAAAAGCTCCGTGAAGACTTGTCGAACAAGTACTCAATGAGGACAGCAGCTTTCCCCTTATCCGACCTCATCCGCATTGCTGATCTGATGACTACGAAAGTCTTTTTCTGGAAAAATCCGTTATTCGATATGATCCTGCATATACTTCCCCATCCCCTGATCTATGATTACCATCTCCAAATCTAATTAAAGCATGCCGAAGTGGAATCATCAACATTCATGCCATTCCTTCGTATCCAGTAGCATATCGCCAAAAACTGAACAGGAATTCGGTGATTGGCAATGGCTCCTGAACGCGGTACAGCCGGTTCCCTCTACGACTTTGTAACAATTATTGAAAAAGTTGCTGAGTCACCACCTCAAACTATGGATTATACATCATAGGCTCCTCTTTGGGTGTACAAAATATGTAGAGATGCTAATATAAGGCCTACACAAAATGAAAGTGAACTTATTCAATGGGAAGGAACTAGGCAGTCACAAGATTTTCGCATTCCAAACTGTCGAGTTTGAGCTTCGGAGCATCGGTCAGTTCTCCATTGGGCATTGAACTGCCGCTGTACTTCCCACTATTCCTGGAGTTAGAGGGTGCAACGTCTGAGTTTCTAGTCCTCCATTTACACCCCTTCTACTGAATAATACTTGGTGCACGAAATATATGCTGACGCTATTTTTCTTCTATGAAGACTTTTCAGGGGTTTGGTGGCAAGTACTAGGGCATTGATACACACGCATGAGCCGAGGATCAAATTACGGCTCCATATCCGCCTGGACCAACCGCCCTTCCATACCTCTGGATTAGCTTAACTGGTACCAGATTCGTCTGAGAGGATAAAAGCACTGACTTGCACATCGGCTAGCATTCATTGTATCAGCGAAATACNCCAGCCGCCCTTCCTCTGGATTAGCTTAACTGGTACCAGATTCGTCTGAGAGGATAAAAGCACTGACTTGCACATCGGCTAGCATTCATTGTATCAGCGAAATACGCATTCGATACGCCCTACCATTCTGAATCAAAGGCTAATGCATAGCGCATTTCAAAGCGGATTCGGTTAAGTCCTTAAACTTACCTTTTATCCTTCTAAGGACTATTCAGAGCAACAAATTCTACTTGTACCGGAGGTGAGAATTATCGAGAATCATCATGGAGACTGATGGACAAAAGCAATCAAGCTACTTGTTTCTAAGAAAGAGCCATTTTCTTTCTATAAAGGAGATGTCGAGAGGGAAAGATATAAAATCCCTTTCAGAGAACTGATTCACCTTATGAGGAGAATATGAGTAATAAATAATTTGGTTTATTGATCAATTNAAATGATGAGGACAAGGGGTACTTCTTTGGTAAGAAAATTGAGACACGCTACAGAAGAGGTAATCAATATAACCGTAGCTCGAGCGACTTGATAAAATTAAGTTTCGAAGATACAAGAAGTAATCAGTACCGTCGCAGCATATTTTAACGGCGGTATGGAAAAAAGATAAGGGAAAATCAGCCAGCTCACTGCATGCGTAGCCAAACAGGAAGCCTTTTGTTCCTCCACTGAAAAATTTTGACAAAGTTTCATAAAACAGTATCGATAGTCTGGAGTTGTGGAGCAGGTTGATGCCTTTCTTAGGACGATTCCCTCGAGAGCGCAGTCCTTCTTGGTCCACCGTCAAATACGCATGGTCCGGAGATCGATTTTCGGGTCCATACTTGCCCAGGCCAATCTTGCTTTTTATCTTTCCACGGTAGGTCATTCGGAAACAGAGTTATCTGGGAGGATAAGAGCACTGAATTGTACATCGGTTGACCACCAAAACTTACTGTCTAGGCTATATGTATATATACTCAAAACACCACAACGGTTCTACATGGAGGACGAACGCGGGGTACATCCCAAAACAGGAATGATGAACGCCAAAGAATTTATCCGTTACCATCCTTTGTATCTATTATTATTACTTGAAACCCAACTTATAGCTTTTTTCACCAGATTTTCATCCACATTCTTAAAAAACCCCCACCTTCGCTCAGCATGTCTGTAATCTTTTCATCAGGTCGCCAGTCGCTTCTATGGCACAATGAAAACTCGTCAAGTAATTGCCATGATCAAACTGTCACTAACAGACACAACGTCAGCACACCTGGTCTCGAAGTCCATTTTTTCGGCCTGACTACTGGCAAAACCCAGGGCTCTAGTTTGTTTTTCTAATTACTCATAACCAAGCCTGGTGCAAAGGTAGATGCCTTGCTATTTTTTCTACCCTATTATCCTCCCTGAAGCTTCTCGCGACGAAAGGGCCCGGACCTAGAGCTAAACCCACCTTGTGTTGACTTTAACGAACCTTATCATCTTCCCGGTGCCCTTCCGTTGTTCTCTCTTTCCAAAGCTGGGAACCTTCTAAGTCGGGCTGAATGAACAGCTGTATAGTAGCTGTAGCAGGTCTTGTCTGTCTGTTGCAGTGACGGTAGTGCTAGTAGTATACTTGGACCCGCATTGCAAACCAGTTAGGCCCGTTTCGGCTCCTTCTCTATCTCATATCCGCAGCTTTTTCAGCGGACCAAAAACCCATGAGAGCAGCCTCAGAGATGTCGAAGTGCAATGGCTGTTACAGCTTGTGTATCCGTTTATCAATACAGAAGTACACGTTTCTAAATAAAAAAATGAAATAGGTGTTATTCGACTGAAATACATAACAAAAGTATAACCGTGAGTATGGCGATATCAGCGAAACTTTAATTACAGGTATAGGTATAACATGGGCGGTCTAGGAAATCGTCTAAGCTAATCCTCATCACCAAGTCGTCCCGAAATAAAATACAACATATAAACAAAATTGAGCATTACAGAATACCACAATATCACAGCACTCGTACTGGCCTCATCGTCCGTACCCTGCTTATTCACGGCGTTTGTACCGTGGAGCTGGTGGGGCCAATTGTTGGTAATGGGCAGGGTTATACTTCGTGGGCGTACCGGCATCCCATAGTTTTCCGACAGGATTGGCTCCGTACGAGCTAGGCACGAGTTGCACATTGTAGCCCTGAAAAGTGGGATTTCAAAAAGAAATCCGAGTTCCGTGAAATGAGTCGGTCATACCTGCTTAGTCCTGATAATTGTAGGGCGATCGAATTTGACGACCCGTTGTGAATAGGCTCGGACTGGCGACATGATTGTGAGCTCGTCGTCGGAGTAGCCGACAGACTGACGGGGCTGGACGGGCTCCGAGTTGGCAGGTTCATTTGGCTGGTCGCCATAGCTTGGAGCAGAAGTATACGGCGATGCTTCAACCTGTGTCGGTTTGACGGAGACGTATGACTCTGTTACGACTGCAGGGCTTTCGGTAGAGGAAGGCAAGATGGCGTAACTTGCTGGAGGCGGAGGCTGATATGACACCGGCTCTGGGGTTGTTACTTCCGGTACAAACTCTGCCGAACTGTCAGCGTTATATGTTGGTTCAGATACGAGGGGTGTGTCGACAGGTTCGATCACTTCAGCGTATGGCGATGGTGATGGCAGCTGGTATGAAGCCGGTGTCGGAACTGCTATAGCCGGTGGTGATGGAGGTTTCTTTTGTACGACGGGAGATCTCGTCGGGGCAGGCGGCTGAGGTGATTGCGGTCTTGGCTGCCTCGAAACTTCGTCACCGTAACCAAGTTCTGAGATTTCGTGCTCAATGGCGCTTGGAGGGACGTGACTTGGTGACTTCGGGCGTTGAGGTTTGTGAGCGTTGACTTGACAGTGGGAACAAGATCCTAAACAGAATGGACATTATGCTAATTATGAAAGTTTACTGCTAAAAAATGCGTAAAATGTCAGAGTAAACGAGTAACTGACCAGGCTGTCCGATAAGACCCTGAGGACCGATTGGACCGGGCGAGCCGAGTGCCCCCTTGCTACCTCGCTCACCCTGAGGTCCACGAACACCGGGGCTACCGATTAGACCAGGGCGGCCGTCACTGAAACGAAATTAGTCATTACTCTGAACACTGGTCAGTATATACATAAATTGATGTGTAATCTAGGAAAAGGCGCACATTCATCAAGGTTACCGCTGGTCTACGATTACTGATAAAAAACTGGTATCACCGGTTTATGTAGAAGTTAGAGTGATGAAAAATATCCAGTAAGATGATCAGTCGAATCAGCCATGAATATTATGTTAGGTAAAAATGCAGTTGAGAGGGAGGGGGAAGGGTGTGGACACCGCTGTTTTCAAACAATGAGCGCTAGGGCACAGAGAAGTAGGGTAGCCGACTCAGCAAGCCCATGATGGTGCTTAGGAAGCGACGTACCTTATCCGAAATATAGTTTCTGTTTCCTGAGCCTAGGAAGGGACAGACTCCCCGGGTGGGTGAGTCAAGTGAATCTTCAGTTCTTACCCGACTACCCGATCCCAGCTTTTCGCTCAAGGTAAACATCTCACAACTTCTAAGATAGGACCAATATTTCTTCGGCTAAAAATCGTCTCAAAGCATAGGTGAAGCCGGCTTTTCTGGGCTCTAGCGCTCGATGTTGGAAAGGAGCCAGCGTCTCTTCTCCCGAACTACACCTTCACTTGCTAGAAATTGCCAGCACTTAATCTACCAATCTACCAGCAGCCAGCCATTCTAATGTTTGTTGATGTTTCATAAAGGTCAACTCGATTACATTAAAAAGGGTAATTATTCTTTCAGAAGAATTACCTCCATAGTTCAACTGGTAGACATTTACTTTTGTCAAAAACAGCTAACGATTGGAAAATCGCCAAGTCCGTCAGGAACCAATTATCCTTCTAAATGTCTAAGGTTGAAGGCCGAGCGTGTCATGTGGTGAGACAACTAACCAGGGTAACCTATTATGAGGACAAGACAACTAGCTAAGATTTGCCGCGCGATTCAAGTGGATCGAAACTCCCAGCATAGACTGGGTTTCCCGCCAGCGATGCCACCAATACACTGCGATGGGACAAAGGGTTGTATCAATTATGCGAAATAGTGTACGAAAAGAGGAGATTTCATTTTACGTTTTGTCACGTGAGGCGATGTGTTTACAGGTTTTTGCATGTTAAAATCTGTCAAAATTCTCTACCACTCCCCGTCACTGGGAACCACCCTTGACACACTTCTCTCTGGGAACTTCGCCTGGCTCGGGAACTTTGAATTCTTCCGAAAAAGGTCCGTTTGTACAGGCAAGAAAGTCGAATTTCTGCATGCAGGATCTCCTGGTAGTCATTTACGTTAAAGGGACCATTAGGGCTTGGCAAAAAGTGGAGTGGATTAAATGCTGCTAAACGAAAGAGGGGAATCCAGGCAGCGGTAAAACTCGCTTTAAATTCAGTGGAAGCGCTGAATTGGATACTGGAAGCATACTAATGGGGAGGATAATCAAGTTACAGAGCAACACATCTGTAATGTTTCTGGCTGTGAAGGAACGCGGCGTACTACTCAAGAAAAAATCCCGCCCTTTTGAGCTTCCGCACCCCATGGATGGACGAGTTGATGTAGTACTGAAGAAGTGCTATCACATGGAACAGAATGACAGAAGTGAAGGTGTCGCAAGTGAGGGGGAGGGACGGGAGAGAGGGAGGGTGAGATCCTGTAGTTGGAGGGAAAGTGATTCTAAGAGGTGAGGCTTTCTTGAATCAATTAGCTCTTCCAGTTCTCCCAGTACTTTCTCCACAAAACCACACACGAGAAGAGCGCTGGGTTTGAGCTTTGAGTGTTGTGAGCTTTCGTGGTTGTTTTATCGCCTGAATTTTTAAACCTCCGCTTTCATTTCTTTACAATACCCATTTCAATGTGCCCGTTGCCTCTGAGAGGTAGGTCCAGGAGAACATTCAAATAATCATTTTGAAAAAACGACAGGAAGGTCCCCATGGTACTAAATGGAAATTGCATTTTAATATGTTCAGCATAAAAGCAATCTCTTGTTTGCCAGAGCATTTACGAACTTATTCAGCTTTGCCGATGAACGTATTGGGTGAGTCAAACTTCTAAATTTCCATCATTTTCTTCTCAAAATCGTTCCAGCGATTTTTAATTGCAATGTTTGCCATTAGTCAGGACCCAAATGCTCCACAGTCGTGGTTCCAGCAGTGAAATTAGCTCCTATTCACTACAATACGAAAAAGCAAAGTCTCCTGAATCTGGCTTTTCCCGATGGTTTTTAACCCCTCTGAGGTTCGCGTTGTAAGGGGAGATTTTTAAACAACGGTAATTATCCATCCTATAGATGTGGTGCAGTGGCAAATCGAGCAATTCCGCACAAGCACGATCCAGAGATCGAATCCCGGATAGTTACTCGCCCAGGCACCCGACCTATCCGTCTCTCCGGGGTTGGACAATTAATGGCAGACTGGTCTGGGAGAATGAATGCACTGGCTTGTACATAGTCTGACCACCGTAATTTTTGTATGGGCCACATACGCATTCAAAATGCCGCTACGATTCTGAATGGAAGTCGAGTGCGGGGCATATACCACGGGACGGAGAGATCAACGCCACGGGCTATTTTCTATCCTCCAAACTTAAATTTTTATATAGTTACTTTTGCTGAAACAAACCAACAAACACATGACAGAAGGAATGGCTATAAATGCATTGCCATGAACGGGAACGATGTGAAATGTTTTTCCAACCATGGTAGGTAGGTGAATAGGGAGCATGTGAATGTCGCAATCGTGTTTATCGATACATCATTGTCAGACACAATGAACAACAATTCGAGATCGATTCGAAGTACAAAAACGATAGATACCTGGCGAAGGGACCAAATTGGGATGGGAAAAATCAGAAGGAGGTTCGAGTGTAGGGTGGTTCGGGGTGATAGTGAATTGGGTGTGGGAGAAATCAACTCCAATTAAGGTCGCAATCGATGATGAAAATGCGACCGAAACATCATGCAACCTCCTAATTTTTCGAATTTGTTCCTATTTACTGTCGAATTATCAAGTATTGGGACATGACTGTCATGGGAAGGGGAAGAATCGCTGTGGGTAGGTATAAATGTACAAAAAAGGTATTACTCTGGAACTGTACCCAGAATGAAGAAATTAGTTGAGGCTGAGGAAAAACGGGATTTTCTTCTCTGAGAGTGAGTAGGGTAAGCTTGGGAAGCTGGAGGGGGAGATGAACGGCTCGGAATCCTCGGATACTGGCGAACGCACCCGGAACGGGTTTCGATTCATCACCGAACTGAGCGAATACCTCATAAAACCAACATTTACAACGAGGCGACTATGCAAGCGATTCGGATCGGATTCAGTAGGTTGTGGAGGCAACAGAACTGGAGGGGACATTACAAACGCCATAATCTTCAGCATGGAAAAAATTCAGGCCGGTTTTCCCACGGAATGGGCCAAAGCAACCGCCATCTCTCCTAATTGCCGGTCAATGGGCTATGTTCAGGGCGGAAGCGTTCCTCTTGTTCCAGTCCACTGAATTCACTGGAGCGACACCGTTTGAGTAGCCAGTGAAAAGGACGGACTGGAACGATCGTTAGCATTGATGAAAGCCATAATGGGATGGGCTTTAATGCCCATATTTATGACCGATAATCACTCTACAGTGGAAAGCTAATAATTCTTATTTTGCGGTTTAATATCGCGATTAGCCTAGCCATCATAACACAAAAAGCATCACTGCTGTCCTCCACAGAACCAGATGAGCTCAGACTAGCCAGGAAATGTTGGGCAGATCCCCTTCTGGGAACAGGGGATCTGCCCAACATTTGTCTGGGAGGGTTAGACATGTAATCAGGACAGATCCTGCTAATTCACGGTCACTCAGGAACCTTTCCCACTCTGAGGAAACGTAGCAGATGTTTAGGCTCTTGCAGAGCCACTCTCCTACTTTTTTGGCCTCTAAAAAGTATTTCTAGACAACTGGACCATTTGTACTATCCAGACAGCGTGAAGAAGACAAATAGAAAAGAAACACCTGCACTAGCTCTCAAGTTTTTCACAGGCTCACTTGTGCAGAAAGAATGAGGGAATGAGGAAAGTAAGAAATCGGCGGTGAAGAGTAAAAAGAAACTCGAACGCGGGTATAGAAGGAGCACATGACAGCGCTCACAGAATCCGTCCCTACCACTACTTGGCAGCTATCCTTGGTCTCGTGAAATAGCCTTGAACTCAGAGCGTTCTACAAAGAGAGTTTACATTTGAGTGGTTTTGAAGGACGCCTTTTGAAATTGAAATGTTGACTAGCAATCCATCTGCAGATGTTAAGCGGAAGTATCTCATTTGTGAAAGAGTTCGGTGGGAAGTGGTGCCACATCCATAAAAATGGTCCGAGGATCAATTCCCGCGGATTGGGTAAGTCTCTCTTCAGTTACATGGCTTCAGTTTTTTAAGAAGGATAGGGGCATGATCTTTATTGTAGGGGCATCGTCTGACCCCAGAAGGATGTTGTAGAGAAGGCTGACTCTTAAAAGTGTCTCTTTAAATCCAAAAAAGGGTACAGGTAGATTCAGGGCTCAAATGAGAAGAATTGGGGAGCGATGAGAGTGAAAGCATCCTTTCCTTATCTGAACGGTTGACAATGCCAGTGATAGATAGAGAGCCACCATTCGGCCAAGAGAAGATGCAGATACCATCTTATTCCTCCTCGAGAGTACCACAAAATTGAATCCCATCTGAATGGTGACAAGATTGAACACATTTTTGGTTAACACGACTTCTGGGAGTCAGCGAGAGATTCGACTGAGGCTTGTTTTTGCAAGAAAGCCTGGAATTAGTCAAAGGCCGGAAGGATGCAAGACTTAGCTGGTCAACAAAAAACCGACAACCAAAAAAATCGGACGACTTAGCGGCGCTTATGTCTTGTGCCATCTGTGTCTGAGGTCATCACTTATCGGAACTGGAGACGAGAAGTGAGTGAATTTAAAGTAACAAGAAAAAGTTTGAGTGGAGGATTCAATTCGAACTAGAATTTTCCGTTCATTT